ATAGACTTCCATAGACCACCATAGACTTCCATAGTCTGCCATAGACTTCCATATACTGCCATAGACTTCCATAGTCTGCCATAGACTTCCATAGTCTGCCATAGACCACCATAGACTGCCATAGACTTCCATAGTCTGCCATAGACCATCATAGACTTCCATAGTCTGCCATAGACCACCATAGACTTCCATAGTCTGCCATAGACTTCCATATACTGCCATAGACTTCCATATACTGCCATAGACTGCCATAGACTTCCATATACTGCCATAGACTTCCATATACTGCCATAGACTTCCATAGACTGCCATAGACTTCCATAGACCGCCATAAACTTCCATAGTCTGCCATAGACTTCCAAAGGCTGCCATACACATCCATAGACTGCCATACACATTCATAGACTTCTATAGACTGCCATACACATCCATAGACTGCCATAGACTTCCATAGTCTGCCATAGACTTCCATAGTCTGCCATAGACCACCATAGACTTCCATACACATCCATAGACTGCCATACACATCCATAGACTTCCATACACATCCATAGACTTCCATACACATCCATAGACTTCTATAGACTTCCATGGACTTTCATAGACTTCTATATACTGCCATACACTTCCATAGACTGCCATACACATCCATAGACTGCCATACACATCCATAGACTGCCATACACATCCATAGACTGCCATACACTTCCATAGACTGCCATACACATCCATAGACTGCCATACACATCCATAGACTGCCATACACATCCATAGACTGCCATACACATCCATAGACTGCCATACACATCCATAGACTGCCATACACATCCATAGACTGCCATACCCTTCAATAGTCTGCCATACACATCCATAGACTGCCATACACTTCCATAGACTGCCATACACATCCATAGACTGCCATACACTTCCATAGTCTGCCATAGACTGTCAGGGTCAGATTTACTTCTCAGGAGCCTGTAGGGGTCACTCCACCTCCCTTCCCTCCACATCCATCTACTGTACCCCGATCCCTCCACCTCCCTTCCCTCCACATCCATCTACTGTACCCCGATCCCTCCACCTCCCTTCCCTCCACATCCATCTACTGTACCCCGATCCCTCCACCTCCCTTGCCTCCACATCCATCTACTGTACCCCGATCCCTCCACCTCCCTTCCCTCCACATCCATCTACTGTACCCCGATCCCTCCACCTCCCTTCCCTCCACATCCATCTACTGTGCCCCGATCCCTCCACCCCCCTTCCCTCCACATCCATCTACTGTACCCCGATCCCTCCACCTCCCTTGCCTCCACATCCATCTACTGTACCCCGATCCCTCCACATCCATCTACTGTACCCGGACCCTTCCATCCCCAATATTTTATTAAATCCGGAACATTACATTGAACATTCGTTTTTTCTAAAAATAATAACATACAAAGTAGTTGAAGAGATGCTCCCGCCCGCCCGCCTGTTGTGTCAGTCTGTTTTATATCCATCCAACAGTTGTATGTATTTCATTGTAACAATCAAAAAGCACGGACTGGCCTGCTGAGGAAGCAGCAAACACCTCCAAGCGTTTCGCAATGTTGAGTCATTTGCTTCCTCGGGAGGTTCTTGAAAGATTAAAATGCAAAGCAGAGCTTGTCCCAGTATGTGTATGGTAATACCTCCGATACTAAGTCACTGCGGCAATGATCTCTCCTCCGGTGGACATGGGAAAGGAAGGAGGACAGGCCAGACCAACTTCACACAAGGAATTTACATATAGACGTGTCTTCCTCTTCATCATATTCATCACAAATCAGCTTCACTCTTACATCTGCCCAGTGATTCCGCACTTCACCCTCCTCAGGGGATTCACATGTCTCTTGTTCAGAAAGTGAAAATATAAGCCTTAGACATATAGCGTAACATCAAAATACAAAACCAGTATGGAGATAACCACACACCTGAATCCTTTAACTGCACCCCAACCCCTTCCCTCTACATCCATCTACTGTACCCCAACCCTTCCATCCCCTTCCCCCCACATCCATCTACTGTACCCCAACCCTTCCATCCCCTTCCCTCCACATCCATCTACTGTACCCCAATCCCTCCACCTCCCTTCCCTCCACATCCATCAACTGTACCGCAACCCCTCCACCCTCTTCACTCTACATCCATCAACTGTACCCCAACCCCTCCATCCCCTTCCCTCCACATCCATCAACTGTACTCCAACCCCTCCACCCCCTTCCCTCTACATCCATCCACTGTACCCCAACCCTTCCATCCCCTTCCCTCCACATCCATCTACTGTACCCCAATCCCTCCACCTCCCTTCCCTCCACATCCATCAACTGTACCGCAACCCCTCCACCCTCTTCACTCTACATCCATCAACTGTACCCCAACCCCTCCATCCCCTTCCCTCCACATCCATCAACTGTACTCCAACCCCTCCACCCCCCTCCCTCCACATCCATCCACTCTAACCC